CTTCGCCGCGTGGAGAGACGTGTGCGACATACTCCACGGGAACGGCGAACTGCAGCCGCAACCACCACAACCACAACAAGCCGGATTAGGACAAGGACATGGTGGTGGTGGTGGCAGCGCGTCATCAAGTGGCCTCAGTCACCTTCGGCTGACGGTGGCGCCCATCGAGCACGCCGTCAAGCACGACAAGTAGGTGACGAGAGGGGCGGGTGGGAGGTGTGTGGGGGGGGTGAAATGGGAGGTGGGGAGGTGGGAGGCGGGGAGTGAGCAGCTAGAGGGGGAGCAGTAAGGGGGGGTAAGGGGGGGAAACGAGGTGCCAATGGGTTTGGCACTGCGTGTGCACCCGGCAGGGCCCTACGTATGTATGTCTGTGTGTTTGTGTGTTTTGGAAGACTGGGCTGTGCGAGTGGGAAATGGCGACCGGGGGGAGGGTAGTGGTTGACACGCACACACACACGCACACACACACACACACGCACACACACACACACACACACACACGCACGCACACTTGAGAGCAGCAGGTTTACCACCACCACCCCAGGAATGGGTCACACCTGCAGCGAGAGGTGGGAGTAACTTGCTGAATGTGCACGGATCCCGCGGTGGCCCCCTTTCCCCCTTACTAATCCGCATCCACACCCCGTCGAAAGGCGGCCGGAGGTCCGCCATGCCGCATTGGATTGCTGGCAGCACCTCATCAAGCTGCTAACGCGCTCGTGCGATGCGGGCGACGGCAACGGAGTTGGCCAGTACGCGGTCACTTGCGATGATGATGGCGGCGGCGGCGGCGGCATGGGGCCGCGAGGGCACCTGCAATCGGCGCTGGCCGCCGCCATCTCAACACTGGAGTTTTCGGATCTGCAGCGGATGCAGCCAATGCCGTACATGCATCCGTACGTGCCTCACGCCGCCGGCGGCGGCCACCGGGCCCAGCAGGTGCCTGGGGACTAGGGCAGTGGTGGGAGTGACGTGAGTAGGGAAGGCACTGCCGCAGGTGCTGTTGCGAGCGATGTGGCGACGGCAAATAGCGGCGGCGGCGGCGGCAGTGCGTGCATGTCCGTGCCGGGGCCATTGCCGGGAGTTACCAAGGGCGATGTGCGGGGTGAGGGTGACAGCCTGTGTCCACACAACCACCCCGAACCCAACTTCCCGCGACCTGCCCCGGCCGCCCCGGGTGTGTGTCCAACCCCCCCCGGGGGCCCCGCCGGTAACCCCCGCGGCTGTGAGAGGTGACAGAAACTCAAACAATGTCAATGGGAGTTATCAACCGCCTCACAACCACCTCACAACCACCTCACAACCACCTCACAACCACCTCATTCTTTCCCGCAGCTGCTGCCGCGAGACCCAGTGGGGGCCGTGTCGCCTGCCGTGTGGGCTGTGGCGGTGGTGCCGGTAGCGAAGGTGGTGCTGCTGCAGGTGGCTGCACCGCCGCCGCCGCCGCCGGGAGCGTCGGGTTCGGCCGCCGCGGCCTCAACTTCTCCGGCTACGGCTACACCGGCGGGACTTGGAGGCGGCGGCGGCGGCGGCGGCGGCGGCGGCGAGGTTCCTGACCACCGGGTCGCGGAGCTGCAGCTGGTGAGCGCATCGGAAGGAAAAGGGTTGGGCTGAGGTTTGTCGTACGACGGTAAGGAAGTTGCTGAGTTCGGGTAGCGCGATGGTTTCAGAGCTGTATGGCTCCATGGCTGCGTTCAGAGCTGTATGGCTGGCTGGTTTTCGTTAGCTTTCCGTTAGCCCTCTTTCCTGTCGTAGCAGTGCTTGTAAGAGGGGGGCCCCGGCAAGCAATGCGATTGATGGGTTGCTGAGGGTGACGACTGCCATCTCGTCGATAGGGGGGCTCGATGCCGCGACCTGTGGTAAGTCTGGTGGTCGTACAGCAGTCCGATCACCATCATCATCACTATCCCATCGGCTTGTCCACTTTACTGCAGATGCACATGCACATGCACATGCACATGCAAATGCACATGCACATGCCGGGCGTCCGCATCGCTGTGTCTGTCGTTCTTCCAAAAACGTGCCCGGCCCCCGGCTCCCTGCCTGGATCTCGGCAGGTGCTGGCCACTCTGACAAGTACGACATGTACGGCAATCATGAAGCCGCTGGCGGAGCTCATTCTGGTTACGCTGCCGTCCCCGCTACCACAACCGCTACCACCCGGCGGCGGCGGCGGCGGTAAGACGGGGTGCCCGGCATCTGGTCCAAAGCAGCCCGGGGAAACCACACCCCCTTACGTGTGGACCGCAGCGGCGGCAGGTATGAAGGCGGTCGTGACGGCGGCTGCAGCCGGGTCCCGATCCGCGGCTGAGCTGTGGGCCGCGTTGCTGAGGCGCATGTTCCGCTGCGCCGCCGAGCAGGTGGCGGCGGAGGCAGCGGCGGCTGTGCAGCCCGCAGCCTTGCCGCAGCCGCCAGGGCAACCATCGGAACCGGCGGCGGCGGCGGCGGTAGCGGCGGAAGCCGCGAAAGGGTCGGATTCTCCTGCAGCGGCGGCGGCAGCGGCGACGACGACGACGGTGCCGTCGTCGTCTGTGTCACTGCTTGAATCCTGGCAGGCCTGGGGCAACACAGCGGAAAGAGTGTTGTCAATACTCCTGAATACATCGTCGGCGCCGTGCCCCTCGGCATTAAAGGACGAGCCAGACGCGGCCATCGGCAACGGCAAGGCCAGCGCTGGCGGAGGCGCCGCCGGCGATAACAGTGCGAATGGCAACACGGCGTGGACCCTGTGGCTGCAGTTCTGTTGCGCTTCAGTCGCACTCCTGGATCCTTTACCTGCCGACGCCAACGGTTGCGGTTGCGCCGATGCTGACCCGATCGTGCAGCGGTCGCCGCCGCCGCCGCCGCCGCAGCAGCAGCAGCATTTTCAGCTACGCCAGCTACGGCAGAGAGCCGTCCTGCAGCGGCTCCTTCGCGAGCATGCCGGGCCGCAGCTGGTAAGGCTCCTCAAGGGGCTAATTTGGTGGTCGTATAATTCGCCACGTGGGCTTGACGCCGTCAGCGGCGGCGGAGCTGAGGTGGCCCGGCAGCCCGGTGAGCGCCGGGGCTCTTCGGTGTGTGCGGACGCCGTGGTCGTGTGGCTCGCCGTCGGCCGTACACTTGACCCGCTCTCGGCGGCGGCGGACCCGCGCTGCTTGGAATGGTGGGTCAGCTGGCGGGATCAGTTGCGAAGTTTGTTGTTATGCGATGTGTGGGCTCACGCCAGGGTGGTTGGCGCCACCGCCGCTGGCGGCGGCGGCGGCGGTACAGCGGCGGTAGCGGCACCGCGGCTCGCCGCGCTATGCTGCCTGGCATTGCGGCCGCCATCGTCGCTCTCAACCAGATCGCCGCGGCGCAGGCACTGCAGCGGGCCCGATGGCGGCGGTGCGGATGGCGACAGCGACGCCAACGGCGGCGCCAGCCGCCCTAGAGACCGCAGCAAGCGCAGGCCCCGATCGCCGTCGCCATTGCCACGGCGTTCCCCGTCGCCATTGCCACGGATGGCCAGATTGGATCCAAATCTGGATCCAAGACTTCCGTCGGCCGCGGAGACGTGTAGCATTGGGGGCCCCGGGAGGACAGCGACGTGTGGACCTGGCGGCGGCGGCGGCGGCGGCCAGCCGCTGTGTCCGTACACCTGGACGCTGTGGGAGACGGCGGCGGGCCTCCTGACGGGGATGGGGTCACTTGAGGAGGACGCGGCAGGAAAGGGCGGTGGTGGGCAGGCTGCGCTGCTAACGGGGCCCCTGCTCCCTGCCGAGGGCGGCCAGGGCGCCAGCCGGCGGCGGAGGGAAGCGGCGGATGCAGTGGCGCAGCTTCTGACGGCGCCGCTGGAGGCCTTGCTGCTGCCGCAGGCGCAGCCAGGTGTGCGCCTGGACGCAGCTGGTGGGGATGGCTTTGCAGACGGCACGCGTATGGCGGCGGCGTGGAAGGGGCTGCTGGCGGCGTTGCTGCAGCACAGCCGTCGCGCGCAGTACGGCATTGCGTCGGGCAGCCGCGGTGCAGGCAGGTGCGGTGTTTTGACTTCTAGGTTCTGCCCCTGTCCGCCATGTCCAAGGTGTGCCAGATGTAAAGAAACATGGTGAAACCTCGGGCGGCGCCGGACCGTGCGACTGGACGGTTCTTTCTCCATCTTACAGCCTACCAACCACCACTAATGCCACCATGCCTCCTTCAAGCTGTCTCCCCTCTGCTGACGTGGCATTCACTCCCCTTGGCAGGCCTGATGGTGTCGTTGTTGCCGCACAAGGCGTTGCTGAACGCCTGTGTGAGCTGCTACACGTGCATAACGCCGACGCGAGCCGCCGGACGCCCGCGGCCGCCGGGGTCGAGGAGTCCGCAGCCCGGGGGGTGTCGGCAGCCTCAGCGGTAGCAGCGCTCCCCGCACATGCACCGGCATGGCGTCTGCTCGCCGTGGCCACAACTGCGCTGGCGCGGCACCTTACGTCAACGTACGACGCCGCGTCGTCGTCGCCGGCCGCCGCCGCCGCCGTCAGCAGCAGCATTACCCAGGAGGGTCCGCGATTGCGGACGCCGCCTCCTGCCGCCAATGGCAGTACCTGTACGACACCAATGAAAGGGAGTGCCGCCGCCGCCGCCGTCACGGCGACGATGACTCCGCGCTGTTCGCCCTTGACGCCGCCGCCCAGCACACCAGGCGGTGGGGGCAGTGCCGCTGCCGCCGCCGCCCTAACGCCCCGTCGAACTCGCGGCGGCAGCTTGGAACCCGTGGGTCCAACCGCTTCAGCCGCGGCGTCTCTGGCCGCCGCCGCCACTGCGTCCGTACCCGGAGGCGTGTTGCCACCGCCGTCGACGGCCTCAGCATCTGGCGCTGCACTGGGGCCCGAGCTGCTGGGGGCATTGGTGACGGCCGCCACAGCGGCAACGCTGAGGTCTGCTGGGGACTGGACTCCTTTGAGCACGGTGGTTCCGGAGCACTCCTGTGGCGGCGGCGGCGGAAGTGACAACGGCAACGGCACCAACGGTCTCAACGGCCCGCAGGAGGCTGCGCATGCTGTTAACAGGATCATGGAAAACCCGGTTTCGGGGCTAGGCGGCTTAACGGACACGGCAGCAGCCATGCAGCAGCAGCAGCAGCAACTGGAAGGCCTGTGTAGCTGTGCGGCGACGGATGCATTGACGGAGGCGCTGGATGCCGTACCAGATGTGCTGATGCCGCTGGCGCGACTGTCGGCAGGCGGGATGGTCGGGACGAACTCTGCGGCCGCCACTGCCGCCGTCACCGCTGACACAGCGTTGCAGTCGCTACAGCTGGCGCTGCTGGCTGTAGTGCGGGATCTGCTGCCGCGGGTGCTGCGCGGCCGCCAACGGCACGGCGTCGACTGCGCCGCGGATGCGGATTCAGGCGCGGTTAATGGTACAGGCGGCGCTGGGGTGGAGAAAAAAAGCGGCGCTGGCGGCGGCGACGCAGCCATGGGCGTACGGCTGGGTGTCGTACATGTCGCCACCGCGGTGACGGCGGTAATGGGGCTCTTGTGTCACCTGCGGCGACGAGGGTGTGACGTCACCGCGCAGCTGGATGGTCTTGCGCCGTTGCTGGCAGCTTGCCTCAGGTACGGATTCGACTGGGGACGTGTTGAAGGATGTGGGGGGGTTCAACTGCTAGCTCATCCTTGTGCTTAAACTTCTTAGGAAAGCTGCAGAGCTGCGTGATCATGTACATTTGTAATGACATCGGACAGTGCTCTTTGGCGGCTGTGCTGTGCTGTGCCGTGTTGTGCCGTGCCTCCCCCCCTTGGGGCCCCCAGGTCGGGCAACCTGAATGAGACCCCTCCCGAGCGGACGACGGCAGTTGTCGATGCAGCGGCGGCGGCGGCCGGGACATCCCCGTCCGCGGCAGCGGCGGCGGCGGCGGCGGAGGCAGCGGAGGCAGCGGTGCTACCGCAAGCAACGGCCCTGGCCTTGGAGTCGTTGTTGGCGGGTCGTATGCCCCGTCTGCACACGCGGGTGGCGGCGCACCTACGGGGGCTACTGCTGCGGGAGCAACAGCTGGCCATAGCGCAGACGGCGTACTGCCAGACCAGAGGCCCTGGGCCGCCGCCGCCAGCTTCGATTGCGGGGGGGCCGGGGGCCGGTAGCGGTGGTGGTGGTGGTGGTGGCGGTGGTGGTGGTGGGCTACAGCTGCTGTTGTTAGAGGTCGCCGCCGGAGCTGGTGGGGCTGATGGAGGTGGGGGCCAGGAGCCAGCGGCGTCAGTGCACGTCGTACCGGCCGTTGATCTCGCACCGCTGGCGCTGCCTCAGGCTGTGCAGCTCGCGGTTGATGAGCGGGCATGGGACGGCACGCTCTTGCTGCCGGACAGCCAGCTTCAGGCGGCGAAGCTACCGAGGCGGACGTATGCGCAGCAGCCGCCGCGGCACCCGCCAACGATGGCCGCACTGGCGGCGCCGCTGCCGCCGCAGCGACATCTCGCCAAAGCACAGACGCCGCCGAGGGATAAGGACGTGCAATCCGGCACGCCAGGCCAGCCAGCCGCGGGCGCCGCCGCCGCCGCCGCTGCCAAGCTTTCGAACCCGGTAGGTCGCCGTACTCCTATCGCTGCCAAGCGTGCCTTCCTAGACTCGCAAACGGAGTACGTCCGCATACCGCCGCCGCCGCCAGCGCCTGGTGGAGCCGCCGCCGCCAGTGCGCCGTCCGGTTGTGGCGGCTCGAAGCGCCGGCGGCGGTGCACTGGCGTCACCACCTATACGGCGCTTGACGGCTCGCAGAATGGACCTGTGGGTCTCATTGGCATCGGGAGCGAAAGCCAGGACCAGGGCTCCGAAGACGAAGGCATCGATGAGGGCACTGTATTGGGAGGTAGTCGCGATGTCTGGGACGGGAAGTGCGCGACCGCGGGCGGCGTCCAGGGCGCCGCCGCCGCCGACGGCGGTGGTGGCGGCGTCGACGGCCCGGTACGTCATCCTTGGCAGGTGACTGGCGCGGCTAATGCGGGCTCCGTTGAGCCCGAAGGATGTACGGCTTCCTTCGCAAAGACGCCGCCGCCTTCTGTGCCGCCGCCTAAACAGCTGCCGCAGCCGCAGCCGCAGCCGCCACCGCCGCTGCCTGACGGGAGCGCGGCAGCTGCCAAAGCCGCCGCCGTCTATTCAGCCGCCACCGCTGTCGCGGTCACCCCTAATGCCGCGCTCGCCAGCGGCGCCAACGATGCAACGGTGCAACCTGCTGCCGCGACGCAGCCGCCACGGACGCCGCCGCCACTACACGGGCACGGCGACGTCGACGTCCCGCCCTCGCATATTTCCGACCCCCTGCCGAGCCATGCATCCGGCCTTCTAAGGAATACAGGAATCTTGTCGTACGGTACGGAGCTGGGGGCTCCAGCACCGGCAGCGGCGGCGGCGGTGGTACAGCAGCTGCAGGGCCAGGAGTCTGGGGCCATGGAGGTCGACCATGTGGACCATGTGGGTATTGAAGCAGCGGCTAAGGTGGAGGTGGGGGCAGCTGCGGCCGAGGTGGAGGCGGCATTAGTGGAGATGGACGAGGAGGAGGAGGAGAAGGAGGAGATGGAGATGGAGATGGTGCCGGACTCGCTGGATCCAAACGCGCCGCACCTCGAAGAGCAGCAGCAGCAGCAGCAGCAGCAGCAGCAGTGCCACAATTACAACCACCGACGCCACAATCGCCACCGCGCGCACGGCGGGCTCGGCTTGGGCGTAGATGTAGATGTGGGCGGGGTGGTGGAGCTGACCGCGCACGCGCCAAGAGACGTAACAAGTAGTGGTGCCTGTGGGGGTGTACGGCGAGCTGAGGCCGCGTCCGCCGAAACGCGCATGTTGAGGTCTGGGGGCCCCGGCGCGACCAACACGGCCGCCGCCACCGCCCATGTCCCTGCCAACGCAAACTCTGGCGACGCGGCCGCGGATGGCCGTGGCGACGGAGGCGGAGGTAGAGGTGGCGGCAATGTCGGGCCGGCTCCAGCTGCTCAGGGTTTGACGTCATCGCGGCTAGAAAAAGGAGACGCTCTCGCGGCGACTGTGTCCCAGGGAGGCGACCGTTGCGGGGCCTCGGCGGCACCCTTGGCGCCGGCCGCCGCTGCAACAACGCTTTCGGATGACATCAGCGGCGCGGCGGTGAGTACGGCAGCGGCTACGGCCGCTGAGCTGCTGACGGACGGCGCATCCCAACTGGACCTGGCGGAGGGCTGTGACGTCACATGTACGGGTGCAATGGGCGCCGCTGGCCCGAGGGCGGCATGGCTCTCCCCTGCAGCTGGAGCCTGTGCTCCGCGGCTGCGTAGCTGCACCGACGGATCGTCATTGCGTGCTCGGCCTCTTCCCATACCTTGGGCCGCAGCCGCCGACCCAGTAGCACCAACAGCCGCAGCAGCAGCACCACCACCAACAACAACAACACAGCAAGCCATGGCGGTGCGCATTGGTATGGAGGCTGTCGCACCCCCCCCGGTGGCGAGGCCAGCCGCCGTTGCCGCTCCTGCAACTGATGCCGCTACTAATGCTACTTCTATGTACACCGTCGCCGTGGCGGCAGTGGACGGAGTGGATGAGCTATTAATGGAGCCTACTCAGCAGCAGCAGCAGCTGCAGGAGGCGGCCGTCGCGGCCGCCCTCCGGCGGAAGCGCCAACGGGGCCAGGTAGACCCCGCTGCGGCCGCTGCTGCCGCTGCCGGTATCGCCCAGGGTGGCGGACTCTGCACGGCGATTGGCAACGGTGCAACACCCGATGGAGAGTCAAGTGGCGCTGACGTCGGCTCAAAGCGTCGCAAATGCGGTACGGGCGACCCGCAGCAGTCGGGGGCCGGCGGTGACGGCGGTGACGCCTCCGCCGGGGGATTAGGGATCGCCTCTGCGGGGTTGCCACTGCAGCCGCTGCATAGGAAGCATGTGACGACGCCAAGCGGCAGTGGTACCGCTGCAATGGCTGTAGCGGGCATTGGCGGCGGTGCCGGCGCAAGGGGCACAGGTACTGACTCCGCCGCTGCCCGTATTAACACTTTCATTGCGTCCGCTGCTGCTACTGCCACGGCGACTGCCACTGATACTGCTGCTGCCCGGCCGGGCGCGGAGCTAGGCGGTGTGAAACCAGGTACTGCTACTGCTGCTACTGCTGCTACTGCTGCTACTGTTGCTGATGGTGGTGCTGCCAGTAATGAAGGTGATCGGGGTCACATGGCGTCGCTGGTGAGAGTGGCGGCGGCCGGGGGGGACGGGGGGACCAAGTCCAGCGGGGCGGTGGCGCCTGCTGCTGCATCCGATCTAGCTCGGCAGCAGCAGCAGCAGCTGCCGCCGGTGAGATGTCAGGTGTCGCAAGGGGGGGAGATGCTGTCAGAGTGCATGATGGGTACGGCTGGTGCTGTGGGTGCAGGCCCGGGGCCGGAGTCCAGGTCTGCGGAGGCGGTGACTGCGGTGGGGGAGATTCGGCGGACCCTGTCCAACCTGCAGGCCGCACTGGGAGACATGGACAGTGCGCTGTTGTTGGAGACCGGTGCGTTGCTGTCCGATGCCATTTCGCGCGTGCACTGTGCCATGGTGCGTTTGCATCATCAGCGGCAGCAGCAGTAACGGCAGTAGCTGTAGCGGCAACAAACATTATAGCACCACCAGCAGTAGCAGCAGCAGTAGCACCAGGGTTTCACAGGACACCAGTGCGGACGGCGCCGGCATCAGCATCGGCATCCGCTCCAGGATGTGGCTGAGCTACAGGGTTATGTGGTTCCCCGGTTCCACTGGGCAGCAGCCGCGGCTGGGTGTGCTGCGGCTGAGGAGAGACGAAACCGATTACGCGACATGTGTGGCTTAGAACTTCCGTTGACTGATGGCCCTTGCGTTGTGTGCGCCTGGCAGAGATGACGATTGAGATTCCTCAGGGAGGGCTCCGCCGCGCAGCGCAGTGGCCGGCTGCCTCTTGACCACACTCCCACTCCCAAGCAGCGTTCGAGGCTTTGCGCGCTTAGAGTTTGTGGGTTGAGCGTAATGGGTTCCGAAGAGACGCTCTTCAGAAAGATGAGCTGAGAGCGGGTGCAGGTTTTAAGAATCTGCGGATCCGATGCCCGGAGCTCGAATGCTGACTCTGCCTTAACACGTGTGCGGACGTGTTGAGTCAGCTGCGGGTCCTGGGGCTTGGAGGGCCGGGAAACGGGGGATGATGAGTGTGTGAATATACGACACTAAACGGATTTTAAGTTGTGAGGGTTTTGGACCTCTTCTGAGTTTCTGTGCTGATTAAGGGCGATTGAATCTGGTGGAAGGGATTGTAGGACTCTGTGGCTTGGCAACTTTACGGGGCCTGTTGTCCAGTTTTTATATGGTGTTGGGAGGGACGTCGAGGCCTTTATGACTTAGGGTTCAGCTGAAGCGGGGTTGTAAACCACGAAGGTGCGTCAAACAGCATAGGTTCGTGGGATCATGGCTTTTAGATTATTGAAAGGTTATTTCGCTAACGGATATTCCTCTCTTTCTCCATAGCAGCACGATCGTTCTCGGAGCCGTCTTTCGTAAGCATTTCCAGGAGCTGTGCACGTCCATGTCCGGATGTCTGACGCTAACATGGAAGAAGGCACAACTTAGAACTTCGACCGCCGTGGTTTTATGCTCAATTTACTTGTTTACTCATATACTTTGTTCCGGGGAGACAGTCGGACGTTTCCACGTTCCTGCATGTTCTGACGCCCTTCCAACTGCCCGCTGTACATGTACGGGGTTGCGTCGGAAACAAATAAATGATGCAGGCTTTTCCAGCACAGTCAAAATTGCTATCATAACTTCGGACTAATTGATATTTGTGCTTTCAGCACATTTGTGTAGTTGCCACCCTTGTTCCCAAGTTTCCCAATTAACATGGCAGACGCGCTCAAGGAGGCTTTTATTGCATTTGCTTCCTATGGCAAAGGACAAGAGGTGAGACCACAGTTGGGGCAACTATCCAGTTGTGGGTGACGATACGGTCTCCTTCTTCCTATTAGCCGTCCTGAACGCTGTCGTCCCTATTATTTGTACAGATTAAACAGGACATGGATAACAAAAACTTCAGGTGCGTGGGCAAGCAGGGGAGAGGCTTTCCTTGCCTACTAGGACATTGACACTGTTTCGTTTTCGTTCGTATTCAGCAAATGCATGAAGGACTCCAAGATTATTGACGGGAAATGCATTACCAACACGGAGGTCGACATTACCTTCATGAAGGTGAGTTCGCAAGTATGAGTAAGACGTTCCAGAAACTTAACATCTAAGTCTCCGAATCTAAGCCTCTGCAAGGGGATTTTGCTAATTCATCTTCTAATCCTCCGTGGCTTATCGCCGGCCTTGTCCTTTCGGCAACCAGGTGAAGGCCAAGACCGACCGGACGATTAACTATGCGCAGGTGTGTGAAACCCCGTTACGGATGCTTCCGGTTGCAATTCAACCTTTCACCTCCCTTGTTTGTTTTTAAGTACCGGCTTTTTTGACCGACACACGTGCTGACTTCTGACCGATTGGCCGTTTTTCATGCTGCGTTCAGTTTTGCGCTGCACTGGATCACTTTGCCCAGAAGAAGGGCTGCACACAAGCAGAGCTGGCCCAAAAAGTCGCGGAAGCTAGCCCAACGTCCAACGCCACGAAGGCGCAAGCCGTTAAGGTATATTTCAGTTTCTGGCTAGGTTTCGCTCTCGCTTAGCTAGTCGTTAACTTTTTTAAAAGTTGAATAGGTTAAATCCTTGGCACGGGCCGCTAGACGGAGAGCGTCATGGCGGTGGACCCGAGTTGCTGGCTTCAATGAGCCACGAGCTGCCGCGCAGCAGAATGCATGTGCTTATAACAGCGTTTGTGCAAGGTCATAAACGGTGTAACGAGCTATACCGATGTGTAGCCCGCTGGAAATTGATGCCCGTTACTTTCAAGAAAACAAAAAACAATGTTGCCTTTGCTGGTATGCATCTGATCCACGCAGTACTATGACGATAAGAGCATGTTTACGGGCGTCCACAAGAACGGCGGACCGACCACCGTCGACAAGATGCGCGCTGGAGGCCTCGCGAACTTGTGCGACAGGTCAGCATGCTTCCTTACGATTTGAATTCCTTCTTGCACGTGCCTTCTTGACGCGCTGTATTCAGATTATGGGCCGCTCAGGGCCAGCCGGACTTTTGTCCCGCATGATAGGCCCCAGCACTGCATGGTACATAGGAACCGGCATGCGGCTCATGTCACAGCATCTTCTATGAATCACCTGCGTGCCCTTGTTCAAGTCAATTGCCGCATCCTTCCGTGGCATGTTTGCCCCCTGGTTATTTCGGAAGCTGCTACACACACGGCGTGTCTTGCCCCGCTTCCACTCGCACCTCCAGGAGCCCGGCGGACAATCGCGGCGTCAAGTACTAAGGCTTGCCGCGGCGCCGGCATGACGGTTGGCGAGGCGGTTTCCTCTATTCTTTCTTCTTTTCCTGCTCCTGCATGCGCGTGTATGCCACCGACCAGACCGCTGCTTGGCGGGAATGGCAACCTCTGTGGGAAAGTCCAATCGGGTCTCGTGAGCCGGTTTTTGGGTAGTGAGGCTGTACTGCTGGGCAGTACGGCAACGTAGGCGAGGTGGTGTATACGGCCCTTTTGTCTAGATCGGTTCGTGATCGGCTCTGGTGATGCTTTATTGCATATATAAGCTGCTGTTTTATACTTGTGTACATATCTTACTGAGCGATGCTCGCACAATAAGCCATGTTAAGGTGATGAGGTCATGTACCCTGAGGAACAGGGCCTCATTTGGAAATGCAAACCTCTTGAAATAGGGACTGAGACAGGTCCAGTGCTGGATGTCTTGTGGACATGTTTTCAGCTGGGCGACAATGTTTTCCGGACGATATGAGGCCAGAGGTCGGCAAATAAGGCGGGTCCTGCGGTTCCGTACCACAGTACCCGCAGCCGAAATTCGGCTTAAGTCCCCGTTAGGCTGCGGGTCCCTAATGACCAAAATTTGACCAAAAGACGTGATTTGTGTAGCCTCTATTGCGGCCCGTAAGGCCGCGTGCTGAAGTTGAACTCTGTGTTTTAACTCATTTTTTTAGGTCTACTGACCGAGAATTATGCCCTCCCGTAGCCGTAGACCCCGATTTGCCCCTCTTGATTCTTTCTAACCAGCATCGGGGTAGTTAGGACCTGACCCCTGACTCGTACTCACGTATGTGCTTTTGTAGGTGCTGACTCCGCGGCCTAGGCGCCTAGGACATTCCTATGGCCCCCTTGTAAAGGAACCTGCCCAAGAAGCTGCGTGAAGATATCCCTATTCATGGTGAACCCAAGGATTATCCCGGGGGTGGTATCATTTTCTGCGTCTCGCTACCAGAGCGACTGGCGGTCCTCCGCAAGCCCATACAGCAGCTCTCAGACGTAAGATGCCCCGCGGTTGCAGACCATTGGACTTCGTTTGCCACAACAGAGAGGAGGACTGTCCCCGGTGGGATGCAAAGTCAGGGCGTGTGGGGCGCACAGATGTAACGTGTCCACCTGCTGCTGGTGCAGCACCGCGGAAGCACTGCTGGACACAGCCATCCCTTGGGTGCGAAGCATTAATAGGGCAGCACTGCTGTCAGGTGATGGGCCGCTCCTTCCCTCCCCTTGTGTGGGGTGTCACAACCAGGCCCTCCCCTCTTGTGTCGTACCCAGCCAAGCCCAGACCCCGCTGGTGGATGGGGAGCACCATCCCCCCCAACCATCCGCCCATGTGGTGAGCCAAGCCCGCGGCCCTCCCTCCGCTCACTCGTCGTTTCGTCCACGTGTCCTGCCCTTAGGACAGGGAGGATGTGCGAACAGCCACAGAACGTAGATGACAGAGGGAGGGGAGTTTGTTAGCTTAGAGACTTAAAACAAGCACACCGCGCTGTGTGACGACCGCACACGACCGCACCACCACGCAATCCCCCGCTGTTGACAAGTACTCCTCCTCCATCGCCAGCACCTTGGACACGCAGCCTCACCGCCCTAACTACCCGACGAGAACCTCCGCCGCAATTATCGCCCTCTCCCGTACCGAGCCTTTGATCACCTGGTGCGAATATCATGTGGTCAACTATTTCCTGTATTTGCTACAGCGCTCGTCGCCGCACCCTTCCTTTCCGTACGGTCGTTCCCATACAATCGTACGATGCCCCTGCACCCCTCCTCACTGACTCTTAAGCTTCCAAATCCTCTCCTCCCCTCTTCCCTGACCCCTATCAGCCTCATCTCCGCCCTTCAGCCGCCAGGCCCCCTCAAGAGCGGGCCGGACGCCCTCATCCAGCTCATCTCCCTCCCCCCCCACACACGCTACAGGCCCATCACCATACTTCTACAAGGAGACACGCGGCACACGCCGCAGCCCCAGCAAGTTAGAAATTCCGCCCTCCCCAGGAGCCCCCGCCGTCCTGGCGCACCCCAGAAGACGCCACACACAGCCCCTCCCCATAAGCTCAACTAGGTTGGGGGTACTCCCGAACGCGGTACAGCAGCACCGACCGCCAAACAATGAAAACACGCCGGGTGCAGGCCGTCGGCCTGTCGACGCCCCACGCGGGCGCTCCATGACCCGACCGGAAATACAGACATACAGACAGACATGCTGCCGCGGCGGCGGTTCCTGTTCCTGCCAAGCAGGGGCCCGCCGCGCGGCGGGGCCCTGCGCATCCGCCTGGCCCCCTTAACTGGTTAGTTGGTTTAGTTTGTGCGTTACATGAATGCAAAGACGGCAAGGATGACGAGGATAACGATGAGCACTACGATGAGCACCAGCTGCGTGTTGGAGCCGCTCTTGCGGATGAGCTCCTGCATCTTCTTTTGCGCCGCCTTCAACGTGCTGTGCGTCGTGTCCACATCCTGCTCCAATTCGTTCAGCAAAATGTCCTGCGGTGGAGGGTGCGGGAGGGCCCTCGTCATGTGAGAGCGCGCTCATCTTTCTGGACGTGTGCACGTACGTACGTGGGTGCGTGGTGTGGGACGCGAGATGTGGTGTGGGACCAAATAACCGAAGAACGAGCCCCCCCCCCGTGTCCATGTGTTCACCACACAGCTGATCTGCGACGCCGGGACAGCAGCTGGTAGCCTGAATAGCTGTCACGTGTACGTGCGCGAAGGGGAAGTGAGTGCAAGGATGGACAGATACGCGGCGGGGCCTTACTCCACCCAGGAGCCACGCAAGGGCCGTATCCGCCTCCTGGAGATGTGGAAAAGAGCCGCAGCTTCGCCGCCGGAGGCGACCCGCAAACGGCCCCAAAAGAAATCGAGAGCCACCACCGCGACCCGGTTGCCGCGCAAACCACACAAACAGCTCCCAGTCGTTCCATCCCCCACCTGTGCCGCCAACTCGTTGCCGATTTCCCGGCCCTGCCGCCCGATCCGAATCACCGCCTGCTCGATGTCCTCCAGGTCCTGGTCTTGCCGCCTGCAGCCGCATATGCCAGGCAGTTCCCAGATCAGTCATTCCCCCGGGCGGCAGCCGCTACGCAGCCACGATTTGGGCGCCGTCAAGACCAAACAGCAACAGGACATGGTCAAGATTTGAGATGACAACATCCCCATTATGAGCCCCAGTGAGTCCCAGAATGCTCGGTGAGCTGTAGGTCAGGCCAGTTCCCCCTCCTCCGTTGGTTCGGAGCCCTCGAGGCCGAACCCCCAGAAATCCCCCCCACACTCAGAGCGGTGCCTGAATGCAGCGGCTTCTGGTCACACCTCCAGAACCCACATAGCTAGCTAGCTGGCTAGCTGGCTCTGTAGCGGCCAGTCATTCCCTCATTCTGAGTCCTGACCCACTTGAGCATCAGCTGCTGGTTCTCGTACTGTCCGGACAGGAACTTGTCATTCGCCGCCACCGCCTTGGTCTCCGCCGCAGATACCGGTGGCGGGGGAGCAGTGGCGGTCCGCAACGTGTCCTTCATGCCCTCCACCTGCCGCCGGGTGTTGCTGCGGGGGCGGGGTTTTTCCGGAGCCGGATCCGTCAAGTCATCTCTGAGTTGCAGGTCCGGGACGCATCACCGGTCACCCTCCATGCCCCGGGGTTATCTCCCGGCCCTGTGAAGCGCCGGCTTGTGAAGTACCACTGTACCACCGTACGGCCTCTGCCGTAGACCCCGGGCTGTACATGTGCAGGTGTGCTAACCAAGGTGGTCAAATTGGTGCGCGGGCCATGTTGACGGGCTTGCATGTGCCATGCAGGGGCCACCTCAATCCCCACTACGACCGAATATACGCCATCTCCAACGCGACTCTGCGGATTCAAGGCAGAGCTCTATCATCCAGTCTCTACCATCCTACAGCGCCGAGGCAGGCAATGCAAGCGAGCCCTAAGCAATCTAGGCAAGCCCATTTCACCGGAACGACAAAACTACACACACCGTCGCGTCAAGCGACATACCAAGGGAGCACACCAATGCTGGAGCTGCCGTACCCCGGGGCCCCGGACGGGAAGGGTGCCCGTATTAACGCGTCTACCCACCCCTTTCTTCTGGTGAAACAGGGGGGTGTATCTTCGCCCGTGGCAGCTACCCTGCGAAACCCTGCCTTCCCCGGTATTTCGGGGCACCCTCATCCAGTCACCCTAGTCAACTTCTCAGTGGATCGCTCAGGTTCCGCACCCACCACCAGCATCCAACGGAATCTGCCGGGTCGACAGCGGCCCAACTCCGTTCCTGGTCGGCTCGCAGGTTAACTTTATCCCAGGTCACCACCGTCCATCAACTAGGGGCGCAATGCCTTCCACCATCGGAAGGACTTTGACCCTAATGGGTATCGATCCCGGGATCTCCCGGGGGCAATGGTCGCGCCTTACCAGTAGTGCCAAACCCTTTATGGCATGGGAGAAACCCTCAACAACGCCCTTATTCCATAGCATTGTACTGCTTCAACGTCGTCTGGCGAGGCGATGGGCACCGCAGTCGCGCAGCGTACCTGATCCATCGTCGCCGGCTGCTGAGCTCCTCGGGCGTCAAGTTGAAACGCTGTGGATTCTCTGATGCGCGATCCACGGCCGTGTCCAGTTCATTTAACTGCAGGCAACCGTTTAGGGACTGACTAAACCCCGATGGTGGAAAAAACAGAATGAACACGAAGTCCCAGTACTCGCTCCAAGGGAGATAAAAGTAGCATTAGGTGCGCCGCTGTATGATGAAGGCTCCCCCCAAACGGACCTGCCAAGCAAGCGAGTTGCACCCTTCCTCCACGCTCTGGGCAATTTTTTTCCGCTCTGGGTTGGTGGCTTGTAAGCCGTGAAATCTGGACATACGCTGTTGAAGTTCATTTACCTACGAAGGCAATTCACGGCTGCTAAGAAACATGCAAAGGAGCTGGTCTACGGTGAAGAAAGAAGCTGCGAGCCCATGAACACGAAGCATCAAAGCCTACTCACAGTATCTTGAATTTCCTGGCGGATGAGGTAAAATGGATCCTGTGAAGGCATATGATAGAGCTTGGAAGGGTGCTCAAGAGCAATCACAAGTTTTTTGCAAAGGACGTAAGCCAGAGGCAGGGCAAGTGCTTTGTCAAAGTTAGCACCTTAACATTGATGCACGAATATTCGTCTTATCGAAGCCTGCCAGCAGTAGAGCCGGGGTGACAAACTCCTGGAATGAGCCTCGTACACCGTACACAGTTTAACTTCTGCCAGCCCCAGATGAATTTCTTGCCGGTGCCAGAGCTCTGGGTAAGACGGGTACATCGTATGTATTGACATCACAGCTTTTGGCATTTGGCAAATCTAGCTGGCGGCGCATGCCTGCCATTCCCAACACCACCAGTATTCGGGGCGCCATATAGTGTTTCCTGGAGTCCAATTCGTCTTCCAATTGCCCATAGTCTTAGCATGTCCGCTGCTGCAGGCGCTCGCGTGGCTGGCGCCATGCGAGGCTGTGCCAGACCGCCTGCCCACTTGACGTCAGCCTCGCTATCATCGCATGTCCAGTTTTGGCCCATGCGCCAGCCCAACCGCACGACCTTCGAAACTCTAGTCACACAGCCGCGGCAACTGCAGCAGCAGCCTCTTCCTCACCTTAGCTACATCACCAGCCCGCACATCCCGCCGCCGCCACCACAACATCTGCGCTCATTAATCCTTTGTACCGCTTCATCAAAGTCCAGTGGGGCTTCTCAGGCCGCCCAACGCAGCGCGGTGGAGCCACGCTTGCCGACCACAGCTACTGACCCACGGGACGATCCTGAGGGCGCCAGTAGCAGCAGTAGCAGCCGTAGTAGCAGCAGTAGCACCCGGCGGCTTCAGGGGCGCACTGCCGTCCCGGCAGCGACAGACGGGCCCTCCTGGCCAGCTGACGGCCGGCCGGACAGCGAGGACCGCCGCTCCATCACGTTGCCGGATGGTTTTCGTGACAGAGCTCACCAACAAGAGTCGACAGCGGCTGACTTGGGTGGTGGTGCTGCTGCTGAGGAGGAGGAGGAGGAGGAGGGGGCAGGTGGGGAACTCCTCCTTGTCAGAGGGTGGTTATGGACAATGTCAGACACGAAACCCCGTATCAACCCCGTCTTCCGATGTCGCGTGGTGGCGCGCAATGCAGGTAGTGGTGGTGATGGTGGTACGGATGGGGAAGGAGAGTACGACGAAGATGAATACGACGAGGATGGCGAGGATGAGGACGAGGGCGATGACTACGCGGGGTCGTTCTTGGAGCCGGATGACGCCCCGCGGGAGGTCGCCACGGGCGGCACGACCTGGGGGGAGGTGGTGCTCAGAGCGGCACAGGAGGTGCTGGCGAAGCCCCCCATGAAGGTGAGCCAGACGCGGAGAGAGGCGGCCCCGTGTGGGGTGAGGTGTGGTTGGGTACGTGTTTTACAAAAATATGTATGTATGTATGCTGTTACAGGGTGGTATAGCTTCACCAGCGGCCCCTTTTCCCTTGGAGGCAGTTCCCTGCTTTCCCCTGCTAGAGGGGCACCCTAATCTATTCACCCCATCCGATTTCAGACTGTATTCGTTGGGTTCAGCAACTCACCACCAGCGTCCATCCAAATCTAGCGGATCAACGGCGACACAACTTCGTTCCTGGGCAGCTCGCATATTGCTGTAATCACGTCCTAGACCGTCCACAAAATGGAGGTCCACCTCCCAATTTAACACCCCTCACACAGCGAGGGGTCGGCAGGCGGATTTGAACCCGGAATCTCCGGGAGCAGAAGTCAGGCCTTAACTTCTGCCAGCCACCCCGCCCTGTGTATATATGTACGTATGTCATCTTGGGGGGCCAATTTGGGTCAATGTGGTTAAAGTTCTTCCATTTCGTGTGGGTAGGAAATATTCGGTTAAATTCCGCATATATTATATATGTACAGACAGACAGACAACCCAAACTACTGACATCCTGTCCTGTATCACAGGGTTTGGAGCTGTACCTCTTCCGGGCGTTACCCGCCACTCGTAAGGTGGACATACGTCTGGACAAACTGGATGACTTGTACGGCTCGCCGTCCATTGACGACATCGAACGATTTCAGCGGGGGCTCCTGGCGGGTGCGTCCACGGCGGCTGGTGGGGGGGGGGGGAAGAGCTTTACAACACACCACAGCTGGGGACGACTCTATCGATCGATCGATATATAGATAGATAGATGTATATCTATCTATATATCTATCTATATCTTCTGATTGAGACCAGCAACGAACGATGACGCGAACTGACAGCGCCTCCTTGTTTTCCGGCTGGTGTGCATGTATCCTTGTACGCGGGGTGCGGAGGGAAGGGGGGTGAGAAGCAACCGCACGCACACAGACACACACACACACATGCAGGTGTTCCCGCCAGGGACGCTGCTCGGTACCTTCCGTCGCTCTAACCAGATATTTCCCTCCTCCCCCCAACCCCGGGCCCCCGCACAGCGCTGGAGCGGGAGATGGGACCGGAAGCCGCGGGTGAGATTTCCTTCGAGGTGTCTTCCCCCGGCGCGGAGAGGCTGGTGCGAGTGCCAGAGGAGCTGCCTCGCTTCGCCGAGCTGCCTCTCCAGGTGCTCAAGGGGGAAGGGGGAGAAGGGAACATCGCTGCGATAACACTCTGCTGCTCGGAGCTCTCTGATTCGGATTCTCCGGGTGGGGGGTTGAGGGTGGGGGAGTGTTGACATGTTCAGGTCCTGAACCCCCCCCCCTTCCCGAGCCCCGCTGACCTTCCCCCCATACACACACGTCTGCCGTGCTCCGAGGGTTAGGTTGACCTGTCCTGATGGAAGGGGGGAGAACAGGAACACCGCGGCAACCTGATGTATACATGTATGTATTTAAGTGTACATACATGCATATGGACCCAAAGGTATACGTGGCCAGGTGTATTATTATGTGTGTCCCTCTGAACTCCGCCCGCCCGCCCCCACACACCCACACACACCCACTCCACACACACCCACATACAACCCCCCTGGCAGGTGGAGTACCGCACCCCGGACGGCAAGGAGGTCAGCGCTGTGCTGCTGCTGGCGGGTTTGGACCCCTCGGGCAGCACCAGCTCCTGGCGACTGGCCAACGTGAGAGCCAACGCGACCGTCAAGGGCCGGGCCCTGTCCAAGAAGCAGCTGGGCCAGGTGCTGACGCTGGCGCTGGCGGATATCGTCCGGGTGCGCATTCATGTGGACTTTTGAAGGTGGCGCAGGAGGCCGCAGAGGGAAGGAAGGCCGCAGAGGAGTGGGGTTACAAACGGGGAGGGAGGGTAAGAAATGATGTGCGGTGTGTGTGTGGGGGGGGGGAAGAGGCGAGAGGAGTGAGGAGGGGAGGAGCTGGAAGTTGTCCAACAGAACAGGGAACTCCTGATACACACCTTAAGAGCAGCCCAGTGATTGCTTTGCGGAGGGAGAGGAGGAGGGGACACTGCTGGCCAGGGGGAGGGTAAGGGAGAAGGATGCAAAAGAAACCGGTGAACCAGGGGGAGGGGTCCGACACGGGCAGAGACACCTTTTGTGTGTGGGGGGTGGGAGAGGGGGAGGGAGTTCCCGGCGGTGGCGGTGGGGCTCCTAGAAGGGGCCGAATGAGGGAGGGAGGGAGGTCCTACTACAAACGTGACGACAACCTGCGAAGTGTTGTATGGGAAATAAGACCAGCTGAGGTTAGTTTGTGTCTTAAGGGGGGAGGATCCAAAACTCGCACGTGTCCTCGGATGGCAGGTATTTAAACAGTTTGAATGGATGATGAAGGTATTTACTCGCGACCGAGTAATCCGCGAGCGAGCGATTGTTGAGTTATGGCAGACGGACCGCAACCCACAATCTTCTCCTGAAATGCGTACGTAAAACGGGTCTTCCAGGAACGTTGCTCATACAAATAAACAGACCAGGAACCAATATTTCAGTTTTTGTCATAAAAGCCATCAGTACAGCAATGCTGTTCGTTCAGGTGCTGGTTTAAATCTATATCATCATCACAGCGCTTCAAAACATTCACCAACTCAACCTGATCAGCGAGAGCTGTTACCGACAACACAGCGCCACAGGCAGCGTATGCTGAAGCCGACGTTGACCGCGCGACCACCTACACAGCACACACACACACAGCCACACACAGCCACATTTTCGTCTTAAAGCATGATGCAACCCTATTCGCACGCACATACATATTGTATATGCATGTATTTGCGTGGTCAACAGTACCAGCTCGTATAACAGACTATAATCGCAAAAAAAAGAACCTACATTGTGCACGTCTTGGGTTGCTTGAATGCTTTTTAGTTGCACATATGCAAAATGAGACCACACCGGGGGCCCCCCTGCTCCGCCCTTACACGGCCTGACCGGCCCCACACCACACTGCCTGCACCACAACCGCCTTCCAACACCAAGCACCAACACCAGTACCAAATGCGCAGCATCCACACACACACACCGAACCACCACACAACTTTAATCATTTACACAACGACAAGGGCATATATATAGATATAGATAGATAGATAGATAGGTCGACAATCCTTCGAGGGATTGCCATCGAGGGAGATGGCGCGATCAAAGGCTCCGGCAACTGCCAGCAGCAACAACCCAACGCACAACCACCCCCATGACAATGCCACGCCGCGCTATCAGCCGCGCAAATTAACAGAGCCCCCGCCAACCACGGACCTGGACCTCCCCTTACAAGCGGAAAACACACAACAACAGCAGCGCCGGATGGAGGGGAGGCCTGCACGCCCACTTCCACCCCACCTCCCCCCCACCATCCACAGCACCCCCATCAGGACCTCTTAAATAAGCCCAGGGAACACCATTTACTTTGGTGACGTCCTTGTGGGTGAATTCAAATTTGAAATCGATCAGAGTATGCACAAAACAGATCGAGTAAAGGTCGCGAAGTGGTGGTGGTGTGTGTGTGTGGGGGTTTCGGGGGAGATTTCGCAGAGGGTGGTGAAGTACCTGCCCTCGCATGTCGATTAAATAATAAGGGCAGAGCCACGCATTGAAGTCCCCAAAATAACCCAACCTCGGCGTTACCCGCGCACCGGCAGTGATCCCAGCCATCTTGCAGTACGCTTACCTTACCTCAACCGCTGAGGTAAGCAAGCACTAAGTGTGCATGCATGTATATATATATGTATGTATGTATGTATTGTGTGTGTGTGTCTCAAGCAGCCAATTCGCGGCGGATTCCAATGCCTCTGGTGCAAGGTGGGACAACGGTAGGGAGCATCGGTACTACATAACCCCCCTGAAACCATTCTTTTCGCCATAGGACCCTCCGTCCAGTTAAGTGCAATCACCATCGCCATCACCATCCATCGTGTTTTAACGCCAAAACGACTCTACTGGAACCCCACATCACGACCACAGTCAATGGCGCAATGAGGGTCTCGGAGCACACGAACATATCATCATTACCACCATCACCATCATCATCATCACCATCATCATCATTACCATCACCATCACCATCATCATTACTACCATCAACATCATCATCATCGCGGCTCATCGCAGATCATCAAAGCACATCCAGCAGTGAGCGGTCCATGCGGCGTCACAGCGCATCCACATCCCCTGTAACGCATATGACTTACGACAACGGAACCCAATGCGGCACAAACGATGCAGTGCAGTACAGTGCAGTACAGTGCAACCAAGGTGAGGTAGGTGAAAGCGCCGTAAAAAATACACACAAAAAAACACTTACTGACATACATATGCATATCCCACAGACCTACAATGCCGCATCAAAATATTTGGGGCTCCCCACCCACGAGCCCCCCCTGCTGCTTCAGCGCTGTTGGAGCCCGTCGTGCAGTTGCCACATCTCTTGGCTCTAATGGTGCACAAGGACGTGGGCGTTTTCCGCCTTCAGGTAATGCGCTGCCGTACACCCGCCAACTAACATACCCATATATACCGTTAGCGCGTGTGCGCGTTTTGCGGTTCACCGCCACCACCATCTGTCCCCGCGCAAAGGCACACAACGCGCCCCGGTCCCCCTGACCTACCCACCGCTCACTAACCCATCACTAACCCATCACCGCCATCACAGCACCATTCCTGATCTAACTCCTGAACGTAGCCACCCGTCGGCTACTCCACAAACAGCCATAACGCCCACCTTCCGAAACTCACATCGCCATCACGTCACCATGAACAGAAGCCTCCCATTACCCCATTATTCGCATCCTCGCTGTTTGCACGGCACATTCCTCCGTACGACGCCCAAGAAAGACAGGGAGGACAAGGTATGCTGCTACGACCTCCGGAACGATGCTGCTGATGGAACATCACATGAGATTCCGCCTGACTTTCCCCAACCCCCCACCCGAAATATGACCTTCCCTTCCTTCCCCCTTTCCCTCCCGCTTTCCCTCCCCCCCCCCTCCCTGGGCTCTGCGGAGCGGCCGCAGCTCGCAGCTCCTCCCTCCCCTTCTTCCCCCCCCCGCCCTTCTCCCCCCTTTGACACCGGCAGTTCACCTTCCCTCTTTCTCGCACTTATTAACCCCCCCCCGCCCTGAGGTACCATCCGCACCATCAGGAGGAGGACGTCTCCACCATAAGGCCTCCCCCTCTTCCTCCCCCTCTGCCTCTCCCTCCTTCCTCCCCCTCTGCCTATCTACCGCCCTATCCACTGTTCTATTACCCCCACCTCGCACACACCACCCGAACCGCCGGGCTGATAGTGGCTCTCGACGAATTCCGGCAGACGAGGGGCCAAGCCTCGTCAACAACCTTCCAAACAGTCCCCGAGAGGGGTGGCATGTGTTCATTGCTCGTCATTGTTTGCTGTCACTGTCGTTGCTATCATTATTATTAATATTATTATTGTTATTTCTGATAAAACAATGTATTCGGTCAATATAAATATTTTATATTGTCGCCAATGTATCTGCAGAAAAATGGGCTTTCCTGCTGTTTCGCTTATTTATCGCGGGCTGTATCGCACATGCATGAGCGAGGATCCGATGGTTGCTGCTGCCGCTGCCGCTGCCGCCCATTACTCGTCTAGATAGCCGCCCTCGTTGCGCAGTCGCGACTTGCCGCGGAGCAAAGTGGCGGGGATGGCGGAGGTGAACGACAGCTGCTGCGCGAGGAACACGTCTGACGAGGTGCAACTGGAGGTATCCAAAGTGGACATGAGCAGCTGGGCATGGCCGCCACCGCCGCCGCCGCCGCCGCCACCATGGCGGGAGCCGTTCGTGGCGGCGGCAGCAGAGCCGCCGCTGCGGACTCCGCCGCCGCCGCCAGCTTGCGTTGATTCCGGTGTGCTGACGGCGGGCGGCACTAAATAATGGATTTGATCCTCGGGGACCCACACGTACTGTATACGGAGTACGGAAGTACGTGAAGTACGTACAATGTGATGGGTGAGGGCCCGAGCGATGAGGGGCAATGGAGCGTAAAACAGGTGAGTGAGGGGAACAATAACGACGACGATAGGAGCAGCAATAGCAGTAGCAACAGCAACAGTAGCAGCAAACACACGTTTCACCATACACCACCACACATACCGTGTTCAGAAGACCCTTGCCCTTGATCTGCAAATGATGATATGAGGGGTTTTGAGGGAAGGGGAAAGGAACGGCGAAGCGGTGATATGGGAAGGAACTCGAAAAGCGAAATCAACGCGCAGGCAGCTACCGCCCAGGCCATCTTCCCCCCACTATCATCCCTCCCCCACCATACACACACCGTCCCCGGCCCACCTCCGACTCACCCCCACCAGCCGCTCCCCCTCCCCCCCCTTTCCCCCCCACCTGCACCCCGCCAGTGGGCGTCCAGTTCTCATGGGGCAGCAGCGCCCGGGTGTCCTCCGACACGTGCACACTGCCCGGGGTGGCGGTGGTCTGCATGCGGGAGGCCGTGTTCACGGTGTCGCCGAACAGCACAAACCGGGGAACCCGCGTACCCACAATACCGCTCATGACGGGACCCGTGTGGATACCTGCGGAGGGAGGGGGAGGGGAAAGACGAACCCCAAACGAGTGAAGCGGGGGGAGGGGGAGGGGTTGAGTTCTTGCCAAGGGCAACTTGGCGCCGGGCAGTTTGATTCTCTTCCTCTTTCCTTCTGCACGTGAACCCTCCTAAAACATCGCCCCTGTCCCCTCACCCCGCTCCCTCCCCCCCCCACTCCCCTCCTCCACCACCCCTCCTCTTACCATCAGAACCCCGCCCCCCCCCTCGCCCCTCTCCTCCTCACCAATCCTGAGCTTCAGGGGCTCCTCCAGGGTGGGAAGCTTGGTCTTGGCGGCCACGTTGAGCATGGCCTGTGGAGCAGTAGCAATAGCAGTAGCAGGAGGCGGGGGTTAGGGCAGGGAGCAAACCACTGACCCCAAAACCTTAAACCCGGTAAAAACATTAAGCCCTGGGTAGGCCGTATGGAAAGGCTTTGAGAAGACGACAACGGCATAGCCTCAGTCCACAGCGCACAGAGCGGTTGTGGTAGGCCAGTGATGCGGCATATCACAACCAACCTCATTACGCGCTGCGGCACGGTTCCGCCCAGGCAGCCCTCGCACCATTTGCACCCGGGGTGCGGCTTGGCCCACCCTGGGTGGGTCCGTGCACCACCCGGGCGCCCTGTGCGTGTAAGCGTGTGTGTGTATGTGTGTTACGGATTGATCCTGGCCTGACGCTGGCCACCTGTGTTTGTGTATGTATGTATGTTTGTGTGTGTGTGTCTGTGTGTGTATTTATGACCTAGGCCGCGTTGAGGGAAATGGCGTTGGCTGTCTTCCTGTGTGTGTTTACCTTTGCGAACATGAACACCTTCTCCGCATGCAGGGGGTCCCACCGGTCTCGAACCGCCACCGCGCCGTCCTCCTCCTCGCGAAGCAGACCTCCAGCCACAATGAACAAGCCGCCAATGGTCTCCATCTGAACCAAGGGGGGAAATAAATAAATGAAAGCAACAAAAAAGGGACAACGCGGGATCGGGTTGTGCGTGGGGGGGGGGGGGGGGAAAGACGAACCACACACGAGTGAAGCTGCTGCCAGAGGGGGGGGGGAAAGGGCGGCGGAGGTATATGACAAAGATCAGACGATTGTCAAAAGGAATTACCATATGGACGGAACGATATGGTGTGTGTGTGTGGGGGGGGGGGGTGCAGACCAGGGCGATGGCCGCAGGAGGAGCGCCGGATGTTTGCCGGGTAGAATGGCTGAGAGGGCTGAGAGGGTAAGAAGACGAACCAATGACGGTTGAAGCAGAACACAGAGATAAGAGTGCGGCGGTGGCGGTGGCGGTGGAATGTGCGTGTGTGTGTGCGTGTATGTGTGCGTGTGTGTGTGCGTGTATGTGTGCGTGTCGTGCTTCAAGGGAGCCGGTGATGGGTGTGCAGGACGAGGAGGGGCATGAGGAGGGGGGCAGCGTACATGTTTGGAAAGGCAGGAGCGCGGAGGGGGCGGCAAAGATTGAGAATGCGATGCAATGCACATCAGCTGCGGCATGCCGTCGCGCGAGATATGCAGCTCCCAGCGGCCGGAAGCCAATGGCTACTAAATTAACTCCACCACCCACGGCTACAGGCACGGCTACAGCTACAGCTACAGCCGCCCGCAGCCCCGCCCGCAGCCCCCCCCACCTTATGCACCCCGAACGGCTCAATGGAGTTATCAAACTTGGCAAACAGGTCGTTGAGGAAGGCGAGGACCTTCTGGGGGGGTAGCTCCATGCAGATGTCGTCAAACCCGG